CCCTTGACTGGGTTTTGCACCATCCATTTCCCTGTTTTCAGGGTTTAGGACTTGTATTGAATTACGTCATTGGTTGTCTGAGGTCTTAGTTTGGGGCATTTCTCAGGGAGACCTCACATCACATGAACATCCATCCCTAGGAGTGCAGCCTGACTTTTTTTTTTCCACAGGAATTGGGACTTTCTTGATGGCCTTAGCATCATCGGATGGCTATGATGTGCCCACAAGGATATTTTTGAACTTATTCAACCATCCAAGTCCAGGAAAGACTTTCGTTCTGAGCATCCTTCTTATTCCCTTGCTTTCAGATATTTGTTTCTTTTACTTTTATTTCTCCCTTGTCCTCCAACCTTCTTTTAAGTTTTGATAGATTTTCTTAACAAAGAACCAATAGTCTGCAAAGATCATCACTTAAATGGTTAACAACTGAATTTTCTTTTACAGGGTTGTTGATCAATCCCAGGGCTTTTTGCATGCTGTAACCCTGAGCTACACTTTCAGCCCTGTATGCATTTATTCTTGCACTACTCATAATGTCTGAAATCTTTTTCTTCCACTCCTTGTTTCCTGTCAGAGGCACTGTTCTTATTTCATATGGTACCATCTTCTCAAATCTCTCCCTTGTTCCTCAAAGCAGATAGGTTTTTTTTTCTGGGCTCAGTGCTTTGGGAGGTCCCCCAGTTTCCTTACACATGGTTGATCTTCCCATGTATCTGGTGATCGCATGCCAAAAGGTGGTGAAGTAACTCCCTTCCCCTTATCCACAAGGGGTGTGTTCCAATCCCATAGTACCAGACCCTAGACATACCATGCTTTTTCCTATTCATGCGCACCTCTGATAAACTTCAGTTCTAAATCACACATGACACAAGGTTGACAATAGTAATTAGAAAGTAAAATCCTGTTAGAAACATACTGCCATTAACGTTCTTTAAAAATTATGGATTGTTTGTTTCTGGAATTTTCCATTTCACATATTCAGACCTTGGTTGACTGTGGTATGGATGGGAAAGAAACTGAAGGTCAGGGAGGACCACTGTGGATCCTTGGATTGGGTTGCTAAACATATTCACCTAGAGCACCTACCTGCCAGCTTCCATCACACACACTGGAGTGACCACTTCCACACCAGGACAACTCCAACCCCAGGGTGCGGAGTGGGCTGAGTACTTCATTTCTGTGTAAAGGTGTCCCTACCCTCCTTTCTGATCACTTTCTGTCTCTGCAAGCAGGTCACGGTGATGCCTGGGGTGAGTGCTGCCATTCCCCACTTGCCCAGGGCAATCAGTCTTTGAACTCTGCCCATTACTGACACCCTATATTTTACAGTTGCCGTGAAGCTGCAGAAGATGAGGTAGGCTCATTGATGAAACACTGGTAAACATCTCTGCCTCTGTCCACCTGGTTCTTATGAAACATGCTTTTTCTTGTTGTCAAATTCCTACCACTGGGCATCTGCATGTGTAATGCCACCCCTGAAAGAGCAGGGTTACCACTGTCACATTTTGCAGACATGGAAAGAAAGACTTGAGTAGAGCATATGAGAAAGGTAGGGTTTGGCTCTGAGTGTGTCCTGGACCTTTGATAATCAGGCAGGGATTGCACTGGGTTTTCTTCTCTCTGCCAAGCTCACTTTCCTTCTTCATGAATCACACCATCTTTGGAGATCCAAGGACACAGAGAGACTTCCACAGGTGACAAGCTGTAGCCACCTACCTCCCTTACATTTCTGAGGGGGGAAATGAGACACATTCATGGCTAAGTCTCTAGCAAGTTTGGAAACTTGGCCCTGCAGTTCACTGAATTTGAATTACGACACATAATTACATTAAAAAAAAAACTTAGTAAGAGCTTCTTTGTTGTCTAAAAAAAATCATTAAGACTAGAGCAGTCACCCACACCTGTAATCTCAGCTACTCAGGAGAATGAGATTCAGAGGATGGTGGTTCAAGCTAACCTGGGGTAAAAAGTTAATTGAACCTCACCTTTCAACCAATAAAGTTGGATGAGTTGGATGTGGTGGTGTGTGCCTGTCATCCCAGTGACACAGTAGGTTTAACTAGGATGGTGGTCCAGGCTGGCTTGGGGATAAAAACCTCAAAAATAACTAAAGCAAAAAGGGCTAGAAGCATTTCTCAAATGGTAGAATGCTTGAGTATGAGGTACAGAGTTCAAATCCCAGTATCATTTAAAAAAATCATTGAAATACTATGAAAATTCAAAAAGTAGTACTGTTTGATATAGGAACAATAAATTGATTAATTAACATATTTCACTTTCTTTGTAAGAAAATTTCATCTCTCATATTCTGTTTTTTGGTTTGTTTTTTCTCTTTCTCTCCAAAAGTTTAGTTGTTGGGTATGTTATCTCCTATAATAATCCTATAATTTTCTTATCATCCCCTTCCCAGGGAATGCTGGGAAAGTACTCTACCAGTCAAGCCATGATCCAGCCCTTCTGTTTATATTTTCATTTTGAGACAGGGCTTACTAAATGTGCCCAGACTAGCCTCAAACTTGAGATCCTCCTGCCTCAGCCTCCTCAGTAGCTGGGATTTCAGATGTGGACAGCCTCTCCAGGCTGATTGTTCTCTCCTTCTGATTTTTTTCCTTCCTCTCTTTCTCTGTCTGTCTGTGTCTATCTCCCTAGCTAGGAAAAGAAAAGCCTAGTAAAGCCCAATTAAACAAAAGGAAAAAATAATAAGGAGCAAAAACTGATAAAATTAAAACAGGAATGTGATAGGGAAAAAAATCAATGAAACAAGAGGTAGTTTTTTTTTTTGATGTGATTTATAAAATTGACAAACCTCCAACACAAAAAACAAAGGAAAGAATAAAGATACAATTACCAATATGATCAGTGAAACAGAATATATCTCTACAGACTCTGACAACATAAAAATGACATTAAGAGGGTATTTAGAGAAAAATTCTACCTATTAAACACGACCACTTATATTCAGAGACGATTCATATGAAAGCAACTCACTGCATAGAATTACCTAATAATTAGAGTAGCTGGCTAACTTGATAAAATTGAATTTACAATTTTAACATTCCCCCAAATAACCCCAGGCCCAGACTGTCTTTAGGAACACGGAAAGAAAGATTATACACTCATCACGTATAATCTCTCGGGAAATACAACCTACTTGATTTTAGAAGCTACTAATATTCTGCTACCCAAAACAAAGATGTTATATGACTAGAACCTGTGACATCGCTCATGAACAGAGGTGCGATCCTTTTTTTAAATTTTAATGTTTTATTAGCATGTATTTGTTTTATGGGGATGACAATTCCAATTAGACTTATATTGTACATTAGTTACATTGTCCGCATCATCTCCTGCTCAGTCCCCTCCCCACCCCACTTAAAGCCATTGCAAGAGGTTTCTGTGTTCTATTTCATATAAGTATATGAAGTCCATCCACCATATTCCCTCACCTTCACCTCCTTTATTCATCCTTCCCCTCCCAGTACCCCCCTCACTGTACCTATTTTACGGTCCAGTTTTTTGTTATTAATATTTAAGTTGATGTTCAAAGGAGTTCCTTGATGTATCCCCACTGTGAGTCTACTTTACTTTGCTCAGTTCAACCCCTTCCATTACTCTCCCTTACTGCTTTCCTCCCACCACCATTATTCAACAGCTTTCAGTACACATCCTTATGTCCTCTACTTGCACAGATGTGATGTTTTATGATATTACTGATGCTCTATCATTTTTTTTTCCTGTTTCTCCTCCTGAGTTCCATACAGTAGTTCCACCATTACAAACGTGTTCTAAATCTGCAATTGTATGTGATCATGTTTGTTTTGTGTATATGTTTAGCTTTTGGATCTATCTTCCACGTGAGAGAAAACATGCGGCCTTTGTCTTTATTTTTGTTTTATTTATTAGTTTTTAGGGACTTTTGTCTTTCTGAGCCTGGCTTATTTCATTTAGCATGATGTCCTTCAACTACATCCATTTACCTTCAAAGCACATGGCTTCATTCTTCTTTATGGCTGACTAATACTCCATTGTGTATATACCACATTTTTTTTTTTTTAGGTCTATGGTATTTTTATTGTAACAGAGAAACCAGGCTGCAGTTAAGTCGATATGAGTAGAGCAGATGGTGGTTATCTTTCCAAAGGATGGAGTCTGAGCCTGGCTGGCAGCACACAATCCCAGGGCATCTCCTTTCTGGTCCTAGCCTGTACTGCCTGACTCATGATGCAAGATGAGAGGCTGCACAGCCACACTGAAAGAAGGAAGAGGTCCAGCCGGGCAGACAATTATCCAATGATCAAAGAGGATGCTTAACTAAAGTGCAGTTACCTACTCTGTATTATTCTTTGCCAAGAAAGGAGAGGGTATGGTGAAAATTATGTTCTTCATTCTTAAATAAATTCTGATAGGATGGGATTGAAGATAAGTCAAGCAGTGGAATGGGATGAAAATCTAGGCTAGTCATTGATTTTTGCCCCTAAAGAAAAGAACAGCAATGATTAAGAAGAGCCTTCTTTCCCTTAAATAAGATAGTAAGTAGCCTCTATGTTTTCCTTGCTGTAGTGGCAACAGACTCATTGGTTTTTGTAAAGCACAATTTCTGTAACGTGGTCTGTTGATGAGGTTGCTCCACCTTGGGAGGACAAACATGAGGATGATTTAAGTTAATGACAACTAGGTCTTCTCTTGCGGCCTCTAATAGAAGCGAGGTCTCAGCTGGATCCACAGAGGAATCCCTAACACCCTATGATGTTTCAGTTAAAGCTTCTGAAATATTGCAGTGTCATGACTGACAGTTTTTTTGGTGCTGTGACTTTTTTGCACATGTAAACTCTTTCAGAAAAGTTGGAGAATAAAGGATGGGGGAATTTGGTTTAGAGTCACAAAGTTCCAGACACCAGTCACCATGCCTCTGGCCCTATTTCAGCTCACTACATGTTCTTTTCTGAGGAACTTATTCAATCGCTGAGTGCTATGCATGGGTTGAAAGAAATGATCCATTCACCACCATTCACCCCCTCATCCTGCATGTGAGTCTCACAGCAGCAGAGGCTGAAGATGGGAAGGTTATCTCTGTTCCTTCGCACCTGGGAAATTACTTGGTGACCTGGTGAATGGCTTGGGCAAGGTAGCCCACATTGGCGGAGGTGACCCCTGCCACAGAGATGCGGCCATCCTTTGTCATATAGATGGAGAACTCCTTGGTCAGCCGCTCCACCTGTTCAGGCTTTAAGCCTGTGAAACAAAACATGCCAATCTGGTGGGTGATGTGTTGCCAGTTATGGGAGGAGCCCTCCTTCTTGAGGTTGGAGACCAGCTGAGTGCGCATGCTAATAATACTGTCCGCCATGCCTTTCACTTCTTCCAACCATTGCTTTCGTAAATCTGGGGATGTCAGAATGGTAGAGGCAATCCGGGCTCCATTGAGAGGAGGGTTGGAATACATGGGACGGATCAAGATCTTCAATTGGGACTCCACCCTTTTGGCTTCCTCTGCATCTTTGCAGATCACAGTGAAAGCCCCCACACGCTCACCGTATAAGCCCATATTTTTGGCGTATGACTGGCACAGACAAACATTAATGCCCTGGTCAATGAAGTGACGCACAGCCCAGGCATCCTTGTTCCATCACCGCTGGCGAATCCTTGATAGGCCACGTCAAAGAATGCGAAGAGATTCTTTTTCTTTACCACTGTTGCCATTTCCTTCCACTGTTCAGGACAAGGGTCCACTCCTGTGGGGTTGTGAGCACAGGCATGCAGGAGGAGGACACTCTGCTCTGGAATTTTTGAAATGTCCTCTATGGCGCCTGTGAAGTCAAAACCACAAGTCTTGGGGTCGTAGTATCGGTAACTTTGTAGCTGCATGCCAGCATCCCTGAAGATGGGAGTGTGATTTCCCCAGGATGGTTTGGGGAGATACACATCTCGGCTGAACTTAAAAAATCTTTGCAGAAAACTGGCTCCGATTCTTAAGGCCCCAGTTCCAGAAATGGTCTGCACAGTGACAAACCGGCCACTCTTCAACACCTCGCTGTTTTCACCCAGAGCCAGCTCTGCAGATGCCTTACAAAATTCAGCCAGTCCCCCAATGGGCAGGTACTCCTTGTCCAAATTTTTTGCAGTAATCTGAGCCTCTGCCTTCCGGACGCTAGGGAGCACGTAAGGCTTTCCATTATCATCCCGGTAGGCACCAACTCCCAGGTTCATCTTTTTACTGTTGGTGTCTCTCTTGTAGGCTTCGGTGACTCCCAGGATAGGATCTGGGGGTCCCATTTCCACATGCGCCCACCAGAAGCTGGCTCTGGCAGAGGCTATGGCGTCAAGGCCCGGGTGGAAAGCGGTGGCCACTCCGGAGAGGACGCGGCCTGAGTGCAGCAGGGCCATGGTGGGCTGCAAGAGGGCAGTGGCTAGCAGCAGGACAGAACCGAGGGAAAGGGGCTGCAGGCACAGAGGCGCGCGCTCCTGAACCTATACCACATTTTCTTGATCCAGTCATCAGTTGTAGGGCACTGGGGTTGTTTCCATAGCTTGGATGTTGTGAACAGTGCTGCGATGAACATTGGTGTACAACATCTGTTGTATCTGCTTATGTTCCTTTGAGTATATGCATAGGAGCTATATCACTGGATCATATGGTAGTTCTATCTCTAGTTTTTTGAGGCATCTCCATATGCTTTGCATAATAGTTGTAGTAATTTGCATTCCCACCAACAGTGTATAAGGGTTCCTGTTTCACCACATCCTCACCAGCATTATGGCCATTTTATCTGGGGTGAGATGAAATCTAAGTGTTGATTTGATTTGCATCTCTTTATAACCAGGGAAGCTGAACACTTCATGTATTCAGCTTCCCTGGTTATGAACAGAGGTGCAAGTTTTAACAAAAGGTTAGCAAATATAATTCAGCCCCACAACAAAAGGGTATCCACTGTGATTTAGAGCTTATTTCAGAGATGCAAGCCTTGCCTCATATTTCAAAGTCAATGTAAATTCACCATTTAACTGGGTAATTAAGAAAAAATCCAACACATTAATCTAAGCAGATAAAATATTTGATAAAACTCAACACCTTCTTAGGATTAGCAACTCTCAGAAAACCATGCAGAGAGTGGAATTTTTCTCAACTTGATGAAGTGTAACTACAAAAATCTATAGTGATGTCACATTGAAGGCAGCAATGTCTGAATTGTTACCACGAGTTTCAGTCAGTAGCAGGCAAGAAAGTGAGAAGTCATACACATCAGAAGGGAAGACCTAGAAAACTTTTCCTATGTGAAGATATGATCATTTGTATAGAAAATTCCAAGGGGTCTAAAAAAATTACCAGAACTCTTGGGAGAATCCAGAAAGATTAATTGAAATATCAGTTCAGTTTCCATGTACTAGCAATGAATCTGTGGACAGAAAAATAAATAGAATTCCACTCACAATAATTACAGAAAAAATGCTGAAATGTGAACCTAGCATAATGTATGTATATGGTGAGAAGTATGAAGAATTGCTAAGAGAAATGGAAAATCTAAATAAATAGAAATTGTATTCATGATTGGGAGAATCAGTCAAAGATATCAATTGTCCCCAACTTCATACATGTTCTATGCCATTTCTATGAAAATCACAAAAAAGATATTTTTCAGATAATAGATGAAATTAATTGAAAATTTATATGAAAGGGTCAACAGAACTAAAATCACTAAAACAACTTTTAATAAGATCAGAGGGGGAGGAACCAGCTGATTCTATTTCAAGTCTTACTGTGTTGCTATAACCATCAAGACCGTGTGGTGCTGGTACAGGTGACAACATGCCAGTGGAACAGAAAACAGAATTCAGAAACAGGTACACAGAAATAGGTCCAACTTTGATCAGGTGCAAAAATTGAGGAAGGAGAGTTTTTTCAATAAGTGGTACTGGAGCTATTGGACATCCATAGGCAAATTTATAAACTACAGCCTAAGACTCAGATGTGATTTAAAACATTAGCTCAAAACCTTTTAGAAAACAGGACATAGGAGAAAACTTTTGGGGACAAGGGCCAGCAAATTCTCAGACTTGAGAATTCCCAAAAGCAAAATCCATGAATGGAAAAATTAACGGGAAAGTTGGTATGGGTGTAAGCCATGGATACGGTGAGGACTTTGTGATTATTTGCATTTGATAAGAGACAGATGTCCACCATGCTTGTTTATGCTTCTGTGAAATCCCTCATAGTTGCAATGGCCCATCCCAATCTCTCCACCTTATCTCCCCTACCCTTCTCTGTTCTGTTTTTTGCTTTCAGGTGCACCCTGATGGAATGTGTCACCAAAGTCCCATGCCTCTGTCCTCAGAGAGTGTCTGACCAATGGGAAACACCAGCTAGACATGGAGGGCAGAGTGAAAGAGGGGAGGTGATTTTCCTTTCTGTCCTTTTCTTGCCTCCATGTGTGGCTCCAAGGCCACCATCCTATCTCCATCTCTCTTTGCCCTTGACCCTCTGGGAGAGGGCTCACGCCCACAGCTCAGCCCTCACTGATCCGGGCTCACTGTCTGCCCACTGACTGATTCAAACTTGGGGGGCTGACAGCTGCCCTATTGCACTGGTCCCTAAACTCCTCAAAGAGTCCTTCTTAATTTTCCAGAAACCAGTAGCTCACACCTGTAATCCTAGCTACTTAGGAGGCAGAGATCAGTAGGATCACTGGTGGGATGACTCAAGCTGTAGGCCCTGAGTTCAAGACCTGGTACCACAAAAAAAAGAGTCCATCTCAGTTCACTGTTAATATACCAGGTGAGTCCCACTATGTTTCCTGCACACAGACTCAGTGAGTTGACTGTCACCCACACAGGAAGGAGTGATCTAATAATCCCTTTCATTTTTAATTTCCTGCTGTACAATGGGTCTATTTTGTGAAGGTGGGGAAAGCATTTGAATCTCAGTTGAAATTGGAAAACATTCTTTCTGCTTTTGTTCTCAGGGCTGCTACTGGGACTAACTGTTTGCTGAGACAGGCGTAAGGGTTCCCAATCTCTTAGGACCTTGACATTGAAAGTGTGGTCTGGGAGCGTATTCGTCCACCTAGAGGCTGGTAAGCAATGCAGTATTTCCGACCTCAGCCCAGGTCACTGCACCGGAAACAGATCATACAGGACCCCATAAGATCCAAATGAACCACGCTTATGAAAGCTCTCAGAACCACCTAAGGGAATTTGTTCTTCAACTCACAAGCAAAAAGCAGCATTAAAAAGGTCATTTTGGGGACCTCCAGAATTTACAGTCATCCCCACCATCACCTTCTAGAGCTGTTTTAAGGTTAGATACCAAAAGGGGTTGCTCAGGAGGCTCCTAGCACCAAGGTGACCTGACTACCACCTGCCTGTGCTCCTAACCCTGCCCAAGGACATTCTACAGGCGAAAGTTTCAGGATTTGAATTAACATTTCTGCTATGCTTCATAAAGTTCACAGTTTCTTCTTTGTTTAAAATAGACAGTGCTGCAGGTGGTTGGGGATTTAACTAAAAGAGACACAACCCAGGCTTCCTTTTTGGGCTCTTCCATCATCTCTGGCCCCTACCTAGTTGCAAACGTGAAAAACTTGAGTCCATGTGCAGTGCATGCATCCTGTTTGAGGCTGTATTGGAAGATGTGCGAGACTCACCTTCATCACACTTAAGAGGAGGACAGTGGGGGGGTGGGATACATTCAACCCTCTGCCCCTTACCCACCCCATCCCAGCCCACGTGCCCTGCAGCACACCATCCACCAGACAGTGAGCCTCTGTGGGGCCAGGTGCAGAGCACAGGTCATCTAGCAGAGCTCAGAACAGTAATGGTGGCAAGACCAATATCTGCCCCATCTGTGTCCCCATTTGCAGAAAGAAAGGGGAAGTGTGTAATCCACATCCATGCCTGCTCTGTTCAGACCCCATGCAAGGTTCTTAACTCTGAGCCTGGTGCAACTTTTAACACTTGGTGAGTGTTATTCTTTGTGTTTAGGGGATGAGAAAACCCAGACACCATTGGGTTGATTCTTAAGGGTACCGCAAGGACACATGTATCAAAAAAGACCTTTTCCTTAGTCCTTATTGTCATCTTGAAATAATTGCTTCCTGTTTATTTATTTACTTATTTCTTAAAAATTCAGTTTGTGACTTTGGGTCAGACATAGGTAGTAAAGAGAGATGTCTATAGCATGAAAACAGGTATAACCCTGACCCTGGGAGAGAGGTGAAGCCTGAGCACTGAGGCAGGAGACTCTGTGGAGACCTGTGTCTCTGCCAAAATATCCTAGTCACAACCTGGGAATGTCAGTGGGTCTCGGAAGGAGACTGTCCCTACCTACCCAGGCCAAACCTACAGGTCACCAGAAAGACTTCTCTTTCAGTTCAAGAGACACCACGGCCCAGGTGCAGCTAGAACTTGGCACAACGATAGTCAGCAAGGTTCTGGTATAAAAAATTCTTGGATTTATCAGCAGCATAATTTTCCACTGTGAAGTCATGAATCCAAAGACACAGCAGTGTCTATGACTGTGGGGCCACTTGCAGGAGTGGCCACCCCAGAGGCGAGAACCTCTATACTTTTTAAGATGACCTTGTACAGTTGAGCATGCTTCGAATTGGCCTATTCTAGAAGGCACTATTTGGAGAGACTAACTTGGGGTTCATTCTTTTTTTTTTTTTTTACTTGGGGGTCATCTTGCAGAGTTGTGTGCAGTAACCTTGGAGCTAGGCTTTGCCAGTTTGAACACAAGTTCACCTGGGTAAAAGCCGAATGTGCAAAAGGCATATTTGAGTGACGGCACACTCAAGCTGAGAATGATAACAAACATGCAAGACCAGAAGAGGGTCAAAGGCACAGGGAAGTGTTTGGTTTTACAGGAGCTACGGACACAGGCTGTTAGAGAGGCCGCTCCCCGAAGGTGTGGCTGGGCTCAGTTACAAAGGACTGGACTGCTGCTATAAGGAGCTGGCTTTTAAGGAGCAGAGCACTGGAGAGGCCATCCAAAAAGGGAAGTCTTTGACCTTGGACTAGAAAAAGCAGCACAAGGGCCTTTTGCATTCTGCTCCGTGTAGTGGGATGTACTTATGAATTGCCTTTGCTGGATTTCTTCCATTTCTCACCTTTGGACCACTGCACAACCAGCTTCACTGCCCTTTCCCTGAGTATGGCCAGCAGTGTCCGCTGTGGAGGGACTGTGCCTGTGGAGACAGGTCGGCCGCAGTTCCCTTCACCAGACCCAGGCAGCTTGACACGCATGTAGGACTTTTGCAGTAAATCGGTCTTGGTGACCTTGTATGGAATGTGACCTCTTCAAGGAGAATGATGCAAGCAAAGACCTCAATGTAACTTAATTTTCTAAAGGGTCCCATGATTTCACCCACTTCTCTCATATCTCTACTGCT